GGGGGGGGGTGTCCAGGTTAAGGGACTGAGACCCTACCCTTCGGGTCTGGACCCAAACCCCAGGTGAGACATTTGCCACTCCTACACAGTAGTATGAACCTTCTTAATTAAGATACATACAGCAAGTGAATGGTGGTTTGCTAACTCTGTGACTGGAAGATCTCTTTTGTTTGGTCAAACCAGATTCTGTTACGAATTATTATGATTTTGCATTTAGTTAGTTGGTGTTTTATGTAAAATAGCATAGATGAGCTTTTAATAGATAGCTTAGAGCTAGATACCCTCCTATACCACTTGCACATTTACTGACAGGAATATGAGTAAATTTACTATTTTTATGCTTTACAAATATTGCTCTTTGTTCTCTTGCATTGGAGGCTGGAGCAGGTCTCTCTTCTCTTTTCTTTAGCGGATTCTCTCTGATTGACTTTGCTCTTTATCTTGATGGAAAACATGAAGCTTCGAGCTTGATAGCAATTCGAATTTTGTTTTGTTACATCTCTTTCTTTCTTTACACACACATGCTAGATTTATGTGTGAAGATTGATTGCATGATGATATCTTTGTTGTAAGGAAGTGGTTCTCATGGTCACTTTTAAGGCTGGCATTGACCCAGTGGACGGGGCCGGTCTGCCTAAGGCCACCTGGCCATCTGTGTGATCTAAGGCCTGGGCCCAGGCCATATGTTTCTGGCTCAGATTCTTATTAGACCATCCATATGTCTCTGGTTCCGTGGCTCGGATTCTTATTGGGCCTGGCCTGGGCTCGACAGTTCATGGCCTGCCCCAACCCAGCCTGACTAGGGTCAGGCCAGGTCTAGTGCCAGTCTGGCCCATTGCCACCCCTAATTACTTTCTTGCCTCATTGATCTACTTCATTCTTAGAAAATCCAATGTTGTTGTATGCTATTTGGATATACTTTTGATTGGGATGGTTCTACCTTTCTGTGGTTTCAATTTATTAGATTAATTTTAAATACTTACAGAGATTATATTTTTATTAAGCAGTACTATTTTATTTTCTTTTTTTGACTGTCTATCAATTGCCTGATAACATAGTGTATCTGCAGCCAAGGTACCAACATGTTAAGTATTTGAATCTGGAATTTGCACAAGATATTGAAGACAAACATGTCATGCAGCTTAAAGGGAAGGTAACAACTTTCTGCAAAGTGATTCATTACCTGTCCATTTGAATCTGAGGCATCATTTCTTGAAACATGCATGGTTTCATGGCTTTGAGATTGCACCTCTGATTTTTTTTATTTTTTTTAATTGTGTTTAAGGTGATGAATGACATGCTTACGAGTTTAGGTTCTTTCTTGATGCTTAGTAATTCAATTGTTTCACTAGCATCCATCTGGACCTGCTTGGGGATTTTAACAATTATTTTCTCTATTTATGTTCTTGTGCTCATCCTTGTTGGAATTTGTGGAATTACGGTTTTTGTAGTCACTCATGGACTTGAGGTCTCTTAATTTAAATGGATGTCAAAAAATTTCTGATGATGGAATTGAAGCGGTTACTGCTGCATGCCCGAATATCAGGATTTTCTCTATCTATTGGAATGTAAGGTAGGGTACTTAATTTTATGACATAAAACATTATGAAGTATACAGTTTAGGGTAGTTTTTCTTTGTTTAATCCAGGCATTAATTTCTCCAATTCCAAGCAAGTTTATCTTCTTTGCGATCAATTTTTATAATTAGGAAATGCTGTATGCTTTTAGTTCTGATGCAAGTTGTCTTTTGTATCTAGGGTCACTTACGTTAGTGTAAAGCATCTCGTGAACAACTGCAAGGAAATAACTGAATTGAACTTAAGTGGCTGTAAGGTATAAACAGTATTTTTAAGATGGCACTATCTTGTGCTTTTCCATTCAGAAGCCAAACCTAATTATTTAATGCATAGTTCTCTGCTTACAGAGATGTTAAATGTGTTTATGTAACTGATTTCCATCATCTTTAAGTGTTGGTTTTTGTATGGGAATGTTAAGTTTCTATATTCATCTAAGTGGTTCTGTTTGGAGTCAGACCGTCCCACCTTTTTGAGCAAACTCACATGCTTGGTTTCGTATAGAAATGTCTAGGATGCTCTATGATAGGAAATTTAGTGACAGTAAAAAAAAGAGAGGTGGAAAAATCATGCTGCTAATGTTTTAAAAAAATGCTGTTAATTAATGGGGTTCCTTGATATTTAGCACACGTTGGCTGACTCCATGTTAGGATGATATACTTGAGATGGTGGATGCTAAACTATGGGGCAAAGGTGATGCTTATCTATGATAGAAAAGGTAGACACCTTGAAAGCAAATGTGACGGCTGTTGAGATGGACTCCGGATTCATGCTTTCATTGCGTATTTCGGGCATGAGTCTTATATGGATGCAAAACTTTGTTAATAGGAGAGGACTGGGAACCACATGAAGTTTTGAAAAGACCTTTGGCTGGGGGACCTCACATTTGAATTATCCTTTCCAAACCTCTGCAATGTGGCCATGAACAGGGATATCTACTATCTCTGATCATGTCGTTCAAGCTGGTGGTCATCTGGTTTGGACCGCCCCCTCCAAAAAAACAGAAAAATTGTTTCTGAGTTCTCTCTGATAAAGAGATATTGTATCCCTAATCAACTGCCTCAAAAACCATTTCGTCCCACTGTCCTACCCAGTCAAGATTGTATGGAACCCTGATCCCAAAGGCACCTTTTCTACAATGTGTTATCCCCTGCTTTCCTGCCTGGGGCAATTTTGCACAGGGCGTGGCTCCCCATGTGTGGTCCCCCTCCCCCGAGGGGGGGGGGGGGAGGGGTGTGTGGTGGGGAGGGGTTTCCTGCCCTCAAAAAATGCATTCCTAACGGGCTTGGCATACTGAACTAGGCCTTTACCACAGACAAATTACAGTATAGGGATCAAGCTTGCAAACAGGTTTTTGATGTGCAATGTGGCCAAGGAATCAAACTTTCCATCTCTTCATGCATTGCACCTTAATCTCAGAGGTCCAAGCATTTGTCCTACAACTGTTCAAACACTGGTGGGCCCCCATTCTTGATGGAAGACCTCTTCAAACATCACCATGCCCTAGGTTGCCTTGCCCGGGTCTGGATGGGGTATCTCTGGGCTCCAATTCCTGGATGCCTGCCCAGGAGGGGTATGCAGCGCCCTGCCGTAGGCCCACCGCCAGGAACTAGGCCTTTTTTGGCCGAAAAAGAAATGGCCTTGAGGGTATTTTGGGTCTTTTTGACCCATGAAACGGGGGAAAGGGGTGTTTTGGGGGTATTTTACACCCCCAAAGTGGAAAAACTCAATCCTAAACCCTAAAACACCCAAAATTTATTATTCTTGCAAATTCTTTTGAATCGAGAAAAAATTGTAAATTTTTAAGAATCATCTCAATGCTTATCCTACTTTATCAGAATCATTTTAGGGTGCAATGTGTAATGTTTGTATGAACTATGTTTTATGGACTATGTCATTATGGGCATGGACACTAATATACTACGGACTTCTATATGTTCTCCACTATTTCAGTTATTCAAGAAACAAAATTTTCAATAATTTGAAGTTTTGAATGTGCTTCAACATTCATATGTATATATTTGCATAAGAAAGTTAGTTGGAATACATATAAATGCAAAAAATAAAACAGAAATTGACATCTGCATATATGTGGGTTTGGACAGCACATATATGTGTGCTTTTGAAAATTTGTCACCTCCAGGCGTCTTAGGTTCCTGGCGCCTGCCTAGTTGCTGGGCACCCTACGCCAAGCCATACACCTAGGGGAGGCCTAGCTTTAAAGCCTTGTTTTTTGATCCGGACTCCATTCATGTTCCCATCTACTCCCTTTTACCAGAGGTAGATTAATCTGCGGGATTTTTTGCTTTTTTTCCTTGTTTTCCTGTTGGTGGTTTTCGTGGTAGACATAAGATGCAAATAATTTTGGGATGTGCTTGAATTCTATCTTTTGGTGAAAGCCACTCTCTTCTCCTATATTTACTCACATCAGAGGATAGATCTGCTATTGGATCAACTTCCTCATATTCTGGTACAATCAGCTCTCTTACAGTGGCATGTTGCAGCTGTCCATGGAGATGGAGTTCCTATAAAAGCATCAATGTACTACAGATCGGGTGTCCACATATAGGGGCAAAACTTCAGCAATCAAACCCCAGTGGGTATAGGTATAGTGAAGATTGTTGCAGCCTGCAGTGCACCTCAAGGGTTTTATTTGTGGAGCTTCTAGAAGCCCCCCTACAAACCATTGTCTGCCCTTGATTACTCTTTCCATGTCTTCACAATTTATCAAATCTGAAGAGGGCGCTTCTTGTGTTTTGCGATTATATAAACGTTTCCTTTAACTCTCCAAATCACCTAAAATTTTTGCATGAAATATCTTCATTATGAACATCCACTGTAGATGGTCCCATTGAAGGTGGCTTTTCACTCTTGCTTGTTTTCTTGTTCCTTTTCCTTGGTAGACAAAATTGGAGTTTCATCGGGGACTTTCGTTATGGGGTAGTTAGTTTGGGAACTTCAATGAGTTCATGCCTTGTCCAACTAGTTGAGAAAAGCTTTTGGTGGTATTCCAAGGACTTGCAAGTCTTTGAATCTTCCACAAATTGTTTTTGGCTTCTCCATGGTGCTTTTGAGCATTGTGTTCGATAAAATGCTTGCTTGCCCTTCATAGTTTGAATTCAGCTTTGGCTTGGGTGATTTAGGAGGAGGAGCTTGGGTTCCCGCTGGCATGAAGGGCTTGGATTGTCAATTGTCCAGGCTGGTGGAATGGAGAAGGCGGTGAGGATGTGGTTGGGTTGGGGTTTGAGGTGATGTTGGTGGAAGTGGATGGGAGGGCATAGGTGGGTGTGATTGGTGAAAGGAGGTGGAAATCCTCTGTACATACTCCCTTGTATGTGGAGGTTACAGTAGACCAATCATTTGCTAAGAAGCCTCAGTGTGATCAGCTGAGAATAAGGCACTATCACTCCCAACTAATTGCCTTCTAAAATTGGGGAGTTCGACTCTCACCTGGCTGTTTAGAAATCCTGCACACTACTATTGTTTTCCTCTTGGTTTAGCTACTATGCATCTCTTGCTTTCATGTTTGCTTAGGTGTAATGTTTCTAGAGATGCACACTTTGTGTAAGGGTGTGAATGCAGTCATACTTCTCTTTGTGAAGGTGCTGCCTTGAGCTATAGAGCCCTGAAGGTTTCAGGTCTTGGCCTTTGACTACTAAATCCCTCAAGCCTAACATACTTATACTTGTAGTTGAAGGTTGTTTCCATTGTCCCAAATATCATGGCTTCATATGGTTCAAGGCATTGGGGTTGTCTCTGCTGTTTAATGGAAGGATTGTTTCCCATCACATATGATTGGATTCTCATCAAGGGGGATCACATGAAGAGGCTGTGTACTCTCTCGTCTGTGCCATGCTCCTCAATGACGTCTAAATTATTTATATTTATGGCATGATTTATGCTAAAATCGTTATACTATTGTTGATAAAAATCAAGTCCTAACAGTATCGGAGGTGAAACACTGGTTACTGTGCAGGGTTCTATAAGAATCTTGTGTTGGACTTGTATAAATCTCGCTCTCGCAATCCAAATATAAGTAACAGTATAAAGAAGAATATAAAACTGTGTCCCATTATCTTCATGAGGATTTCCGTGAATTTTTGCAACTAGCAAAACTAGACATTTAGCATGCAAAAATTATCAATCTTTATGATTCTGTGCAGTGCTTGTTGAAATATTTTATTTTATTTTATTTTTTCATGGAGTTTTTTCAAACCCTTTCATTAATGAATTGCTATGAAAAGCAAGGAAAATTCTTTCATTCATGAGTACCAAAGATGTGCCAAAGACTAAGGCCATTAGATTTAACAAACAATTAAATCTTAGCCCCAAAATTGGCACCTGTTATCACCCCAAATAAGAGAGCTCCCTTAAAGTATCACAAAGGGAACCACAAATTCCCCAAATTTATAATATAGAACAACTCGGGCAATAAATCGAGAATAAGTTGGGCATTTGTACTGTTTGGTTTTGAAGTTCCTGTACTAAAATTCCTTCTGTTTGATGATTTCTTCCAATAGTAATTTTACCACTTGTTAGGCATGTACAGAAGACCATGTGCCAATATCATGAAAATTTTCCAGTGGCTTTAACTCAAGCCACTGTACATCCAATTCAAGTAAACAAAGTTTACTTACAAGTTCAACATAAAAGTTTACATATCTGATGTCACATATAAACTTCCAACAGGTGCTATTGTTTGATTCCCAATTTTGCAGTTACTTTTAAAAACATAAAAATAAGAGCGATTCAAATTATAAAAGATCTTTAGAGAAATGTGAGACGAGTGGTACATGGAACTCAATCACATAAGATACAAGAACTTTTCAATTATCCCATGCCACTGAGCTTCTTGTGTCCATTGACCCCATGCATCCAAGCTATCTCAACTATCACAAACATCTCAACAATGAATAGCATCATGTTAGAGAGAGTCCACATAGAGGTATAGAGATTGAGGGGACGGGATAGATAGAGAGTATGCAGTTTTAGAGAGAACAGAAAGAGAGAGAGAGAGACCCCATTTTTGGGTCAAGTTGAGAGAGCAAAACAGTGATAAAGGGCAAAATTATTCTAATTTTTATTTTTTATTTAATTTCAAAGGATGAATATTATAGTTTTAGTTTTGGGGTTTATTTCTAGGTTTTTTTAGTTTTTAAGGGATTCTAGAGTTTTTTTTTTGTTTACTTCATTGTGCTATGCACAATTACTGTTCACGAATACTGTTCACTAGGGTAAAACTGTCATTACGAATTTTAAGTTAAGTTAGGATATATGGATCAATGTATTATTTTTTTGGACACTTTTTTTGCTTGGAACATTAAATTATAATATATAAGAGGTGTATGGGGCCTTGAGGAGGTCATTCCACATGATTTTTAGAATTGAAAGAAAGAAAACAAAGCTTAGGCTTTTGGAACCCTAGCTTGGGGTATGGAGAAGAAAAGCTAGGTTTATTTGAATTGTGTATGTGTTTGCCTTACTCCTTACTGATTTCTACTGTTTCCGCAAGTTCTCTACATCAAGTAGACAGAGAAGGAGAATGAATTGTACAGTAAGGACTAAGGAGTATAGATAGAGGGTGAGATTGAGGGAGATAATGAAATTTCAGAGAGAGAGAGAGAGGGATTTCAATATGTAATGGAAACAAAGACCAATTTACTTGGTATGCCTTCTTGAGTAGATAGATCCTTTTGGTTTCTCCTCCTTGTTTATAGAGAGGGGGAGATGGCATATGGATAGAGGAAGGAGAGGGGGGGCATGGATGGGGGGATGGGGGGCTTTGAGCCCCATCAGGTAATGCGCAGAAGATTGTGGCTACCACTTTAAAACTTGAGCTTTGTGAGACTAAATCTCCACCTTTGCCTTAAAATTTATAGTGACGGTTCTTAGGGTCAACATTGTAGGAATTTGTCCGTGGGATCATGAAATCACTACAGCATGCATGCACGCACGCAACACACACATGTACGCACGCACACACCCTTGCAAACACACCCACACACTTGTTTACTTTCCATTTTTGTTAAAAATAGATTGACTAAGAGGGTATTAGGATCACACACACACACACACACACGCACACACCATACAGACCAATGTTGTCAACTCGCTTCGCTTCAGCTGAAGGGGCCAAAGCCTTTAGATTTTTGTCCTAGACCAAAGCGAAGTGAAACTCTAGTGTAGCTACTTCGGCCTGCTTTTGTCTAATTTGGCCTCTTCAGCTGAAGTATAAAATTATGTGCTTCGGCTCTCTTCGGTGTGATTTGGCCTCTTTGGCCATAGCACAAAATAGTCTCTTTTTTTTAAATATTTTTTTTGAATTTTTTATAATTTTTAATATATATTTATATATTAAAAATATATTTATATAATATATACTTTATTGATATTAATTTTCTTTAAAAAATCCGAAGTCTTCCTCCGAATCAACCGAAGCACCGAATTGGTTCATGTTTTTGACCAACTCCGAAGTAAATCTGACAACACTGATACAGACAAACATAGATATATATGTATGGGATAAGTTCCTGTTAGTCACTAGCTAACAACTACAGTGTAAGCCCAATGGCCAGATTGAATATGTGCCGATCCAATGGTAATGATTACATTTTGTATTTGAATTTTAGTTTTTTTTTTTCAAAATCCAAATTTCTTGAAATTTTGAGCGTCCATTCTTTAAAAATAGAAGAGTCTAATAAAAATATCAAAAAAATAATTTGTAAAAAATAAATAGACTAAAGTACCCCTAAAATTTTCAGGGCATTTTGATCAATTTATATTTTACGAATGATTTTTTTAATATTTTTATTAAGTGCATCTTGATGATAATAATGGATACCTAAAATTTCATGTTATTTAGATTTGTAGAAAAAATATTAAAATTATATTATGAAATGAGGTCGTGATCGTCAGATCGGCCCAAATTCATTGTAACTATCAGCTAGTGGGCTAACCTCAAATTCTCCCTCTATACAGATATATACACACACACATGTCACCATCATCATCATAGCCTTTTCCCAATTAATTAGAGTCACCTACAAGAATCCTGGTCCACCATTCTACTCTATTAAAGGCGATACCTTTAGTGAGGTCATACGTCTCCATATTTTTTCGGACTACTTCCAACCACGTCGTTTTGGACCTACCCCTTACCTTTTTCAGTCCTTCCACTTGAACTAACTCGCACCTCCTAACAGGTGCTGTACTTGGCCGGCGCTACACATGACCAGCCAACCTAAGTCTACTCTCTGTCATCATATCACCTTTTGGTGCCACACCTAAATTCTCCTAAATGGATTTATTTCAAATTTTATCCCTTCTTTTCTTGCTATTCATCATCTCAATAGCCTCATCTCCGCTACACATTCTATAAATATATTCTTATTTGTCCGCCCAACATTCTGCCCCATAGAGCAAAGCTGGTCTCATAATTCTCCCTATATATAGATATATACACACACACATCACCATCATCATTGTAGCCTTTTCTCAATTAATTAGGGTCAGTTACAAAAATCCTGGTCCACCATTCTACTCTATTAAAGGCCATACCCTTTGTGAGGTCATACATCCCCATATTTTTTCGGACTACTTCCAACCACGTCCTATTGGGCCTACCCCTTGCCTTTTTTGGTCCTTCTACTTGAACTAACTCGCATCTCCTAACAGGTACTGTACTTAGTCGGCGCCACATATGGCCAGCCAACCTAAGTCTACTCTCTCTCATTATATCGTCTATTGGTGTCACAACTAAATTCTCTTAAATCGATTTATTTCAAATTTTATCCCTTCTTTTTTTGCTACTCATCCATCTCAATATCCTCATCTCCGCTACACTCATTCTATAGATATATTGTTCTTTGTCCGCCCAACATTCTTCCCCATAGAGCAAAGCTGGTCTCATAATTGTCCCATAGAACTTGCCCTTCAGCTTCATTGGTATGCGATGATCACATAAAATTCGAGTTGCACATCTCCACTTCGCCCACCAAGCTCTAATTCTATGTGCGACATCTTCCTCAAGCTCTCCGTTTTTCTGGATTGTCGACTCAAGATATCAAAAGTTCGATCTGTTTTGTCGTTCCTGGCTGTCAATCTTAACTACGTCCTCGTCTCTACTCCTATTATTGCTAAACTTGCATTCCATATACTCTATCTTAGCCCGGTTAATTTTAAAACCTTTGGATTTTAGAGCATCCCTCCAAAGTTTTAACTTTGTGTTGACGCCATTTTGGGTCTCATTGATCAAAACTATATCATCTACGAACAACATGCACCATGGTACTTCATCCTATAAGGGTTTAGTTAAGTCGTTCATAACTAAGACAACGAGGTATGGGCTCAATGCTGATCCTTGATGTAGACCTATTGTCATTGAAAATTCCTCGTCTCTCCACTAGTTGTTCTTACACTAGTTAGCGCTCCATCGTACATATCTATCACCAAGTCGATGTAGTATATATACACCACACACACACACACACACACACATATATATATTAATATAACAAATATAATATATATGTATATATATATATATATATATATATATATATAATGAAAATATGTACATATATACATATTTTAATTATATATATATATACATATATACATATACACAGATTTTGTAGCCAATGAAAACATGGTTATTGTGACTCAATACATGGACCAGTCAGGGCACATGGACTTCTTTTTTTCTTTTGACACTTACTTAATAAGATGGACCAATATTACACGGTGTTATGGCATTATCACTGTGAAATGCAGCCTTCCTTTCTCATGATATGAATTCCATGGATGATCTTCATTCTGATTTATAAATATATCTTGAAACATATATAAGAAGATTGTTTTCACGAAGTGTTTCCATGATGTTGCTTCTAATTTCACTCTAGGGAAAATTATGTAAAGTGCCCCACTTGGAAGATTGTACATTCTGGCCTCCTGCTACTTTTAATTCACACGATAAAGCTTTTAACTGTTTTTGTTTGCAGCCAACCCGAAGAGAAGATTTATATTAGTTTTGGACAAAATGGCCTTAATGGTCACCACGACCGAAGATAATAAACCTGAATTTTCTCTAAAAGTAGAACCGTTCTTAGGAAAAGTTTTTTGGCTGAGTTCCGTTCAACAGTCCAATGCCTCAAAATTAAAATTTAACACTCCAATGTCTTAAAATTAAAATTTAACATTTTTGACTGAGGGGCATTTTTGTCCAAATTTGCCTAAACAATTCACTTGGGAAGGCTTATGCAAAGAAAAATAATAACAAAGTATTGGGTGTAATATCAAAAGTAGTTGGGGGTCCTATGTGCAGAAATTTCAATGTAGGGGGGTTCACATAATATTCCCTTTCTTCTACTGTTGGGATCCTTAAGCTTTCTGAATGCAGTTACATTTTGGCATGGCCTTGCAGAAAATTTCAGTTGGAAGCTGGCAACTCATTGCAGACCATTATTCAAAATTGGAAGTGTTGAATTTGACCAGGTCTTTAATAGTGCTTCTCTATTTAAAGTACAATAAAGATGGATACTTCTTGTCTTTCTGCTGGTCTCACCAAGTAGTTATATTGTCTTACCATATTGATTACGAACCTGTTGAAATTCTTTGAAAGTCTTATAATTACATGATAGTCATTATCTTCTTTAGATATGCAATTACAAAAATAAAAATAATGACCGGAAGGGATTCAATCGTTGCTACATTTTCCTGTGAGTTCGAGTGGACCAATGGTTCTTATTATTGTAATTCAAGACCTTAAGGCAAAGACTTTAGTACTGAATTGTGGTGTTTTGTGGCATTTTGCAAATAAATGGTTTCAGACATGGAACAGACTCATGCCTTGCCGATTTCTTTTCTTGACTAGTTTATTACATAGTTATTGGGATCGGGAACAAATTGGGAGCAGGAGCCGGGGATATTGTGGAAGGCTAGAAGATGCCTATGGTTGCGGTCCGTATAATCCATAGGTTAGGGAGCAAGATCCCTAAAAGTTGGGGATCTCAACCCAATGTTTTGGGGATCTCAATACCGAGCTTTTGGGAATCTTGCTTCCAACCTTAAGGCGTATATAAGTCTAGGACTATACATAACTCTTTAAAGTGGGGATCTCTTTGTTTAGAGCTAGCAAGAGCTGGCTTGAAAGTTATCAATTTGGTAGTTATCTTGGTCTTTAAGGTGGAGATCAAGATTCCTAACAAACGAAATCGAGATCCTGAATTTCAAAATTCGAGATCCTTTCCCCTATACATAGGAGCGAGATTTGGAAGTGGGATTGCCGCCTCGGTTGGGAAATCCCAGTATCTGAAAGAAATGCTTTTGCTCATGATTAATGCTTTGTATGGAGTCTGGACTTGCCCTTAGGCCCCCTTTGGATAAAACATTTGGAAAGGAATAGTACTGTCTTTCCCTCCACCCGAAAACAACTCCTTTAATGTGAACATATTGGGCCCATCCTTAAACGGCCTTGGCTTTATCGTCTAGTGTGAACATGCTAAGATTTAATAGTGCATGGTATGCTTAGAACATATTGGTTTTGTTGAGTAATGTTCTGGAATGCTTCTTATGTGTGACGATTTGGCAGAAACTCATTCTCTTTTGACAAGTTCATTACATGAATCAAGAAACACGAGCTCGAGCTGGAGCTGCTGGACATACCTTTGACAATCATTTCATCTATGATGTTTATTTATAAGAGTGTCTAAAACCCAATCATAGAGCTAACTCCATAACTTAATTTGGTTTGTAAAACCTTTTAGATGGAAACTCTCGCATAATTTGAGTGCCCAACATGCCTCTTTCTGCTCATGTGAGGTCTGTCTACCCAATTGTAGCACTTTGGAGTGGGCATTCATCAAATTTTGGTTCACTTCAACCTTGACGGCGATGTGCTCCATTACACTTGGGACTGTTGGATTTGGTTCTATACACTATAGTAACCTCAAACTGGAGTTCCAGGCTCCACCATGGTGATTACTTGCTCTCTAGGGTGTTGGGTCACCTGACTTCCTGTGTCTCTCTTGATTTGCCTGTAGCTCCCGCTGAAAAGAATTTAGCTTAGCAGATGATCCTGTTGTCCTTTCTTTCCACACCCCAAAATGGTGGCCATGAAAGGTGCACACTATAACATCTGGGCGATGGCGTGCTGCAAGGTAGAATCCCAAGCTGAGATGCTAAAATGTCTGGCTATTGTAATGGAAAACTTGAAAAGGAAAAGCACACCTGCCAAATGTTCTGGATTGGCATTGATTGAAGAAGTGGTCCTTGCATTCTTTGTAGGCATTCCTAAAAAGCACAGACTTGTTTGCCATGCAAAAATCTCTTCATTTGAGATGATAAAAAATGGTGAGAATCGTGGTTTTAAAACACAAGCACACGGAAGGTGCCACTATAAGTTGTGATTCCTTCCTGGTGATTACTTGCGTTTTAAGTGTTGAAATCCTGGTTTTAAAACACAAAACATGCGAAAGGTGCCACTATGTGTGGTGATTCCTTGCTGGTGATTACCTGAGCTATGCCCCTGGTCTCTTTGCTCCTCCATGGTGATTATTTGTGTTGTAGGGCTGTGGAAAGCCCAACTTCCCATGGGACCACGTCTCTCTTGATGATTACCTATAGCTCCTGCTGATGGGACTGAAGCTTGGCAAAAGATTTTGTTGTTCCTTTCCTTCTATATGCCCCCAAATGATGGCCATGGAAGTTGCATACTATAACGTCAAGGCATCTTGCATGGTAGAATCCCAAGGTGAGATGTGAAAGAGTCACAATATCGTAATCAAAATGTTGAAACACACTTTCGAAATGCTCTTAGTTGGCATTGATTGAAGCGAGGATCCATGGATTCCTTTGTAGTCATTCCTAGAAAACACATGTATTAACTATAAAATTTGTGGTAATTAATAATGATTAAAGTCGTGGTTTTAAAACCATATTTACCAGAATCTTCCACCCTAGGTGGCGATTCCACTTTGGAATCTCGCTTCCACCTTTATTTTCTCAATTTTTTTTTTTTATTTTCTCAAAAAAGAATCTCGCTTCCACCTTTTAGGAATCTCGAAATGGAGTTATTTGGAATCCGAACTCCAGAATATCAAATCCCAAGGTTCATAGGTTCACCTAACCATTATTCAATGACCACAGAATCTCGTTTCCACTTTCTGGGAATATCGATCTTGAGTAATTCGGAATCTAAATGCGAATTCCTTAGTGGACCATGCTAACACACTTTAACGAGTCTTGGGTTCAAGGTAAATTCATTATTCCATTGATGAAATGAATGTAAAAATATTTGGAATGCTTGGAATTTTTTAAATTTTATTTGAAACAGGGCAAATCTCAAATTGAGTTGTTTGGAAACCATATTCCTCAACATTAAATCCCTAGGTTCATAGGTGCACCTAACCATGATTCGATGAATATGGAATCTCGCTTCCACTTGTTAGGAATGTCGATTTGAGTTATTTGGAATCTAAATGTGAATTCCCTATTGGACCATGCTAATACACTTCAATAATTCTCAAGTAAAAGATAACTTCATTTTTCCCTAGTGATACAATGATTGCAAAAATACTATCGAATACTTAGAATTTTTTAAACATTATCTAAACCATTCTCTTCTTTAAAATTGTACTTTTTTTATTCAAAGAGAATGGGTATCTAGAGACTCTACTTAGCGTTAGGATATCTAGAAACTCTCCAATTAACCTCATTCCTAAAGTTCGGACCCAAAATAAGTTCTCATTCTTTTGTATGACTCATTATTAATAAATAAAATTTTTTACTTTCTTTATTGAGTATAGTAAGTCCAATAAACCTCAACTTTGGTACTTAGGGAACTCTAGTTAAGGGCATTGATGACTTTGATTCCAATACCTGTGGAGAACCTTGATCAAGGGCACTTAATACATTGATTCAAATACCAATTGAACCCTTGTTTAGGGCAGTTAAGGACCTCGCAATATAAGGGAAACCCTAGCTAAGCATACTGAATGTAGTGATTCCATTACTAAGGGAATCTTGGTTAAGGATACTCTAGAACCTTGAACCTTGAACCTTTTGTCTTATGGAACTCTTTCCTTGATAATTAATCGCATGATTCGAAATGGTTTGGAGCATGATTCTATAAAGGTAGGAATCTTAACTTGTAAGACGTGCATCGTAAGGACAATGCTTCCTACCATAGAAGCTTCTAGCCTTTTGTGATGCTTTGCTTCCGATTCTAAAATGCTCCCGTTTCCAACAACTATATTTAAAGCACAAGTTTGCAAAAGGTCCACTATAAGTAGTGATTCCTTCCTCCAAATCAGGGTAGTACGAAACAAAGAATTGATGGCATTAGATACAAGACTTGGTGCTGACAATGATACTCGACTTGGAGGGCACGTACCTTCCCTGGGATTGAAAAGAAGGTGCCCATGGGACGAGAAAGAGATTGACAAATTGCTTGATTGGGGTTATCACCATCTTGGCCTAATGTTTTTGTTTTTTTTGTTATCTTTTGGAATGCCTTCACACTAAATCCATATAAATGAAACGCTATAGTGGTTTAGTAATAAAACTATGTTCAATCCCTGTCATGGCCCTACATTCTCATTTTTCTCAGTTTTTTATGGGACTTTCTAGCAATATCACAATCTAAGAAATAATAGTACATATTTACGCTATAAAGTATACACATGTCCCCATATAAATGTAGTGCATGTACAAGAGATTGCTTTCAGGCTGCCCTATGAGCAGTGCTCCTAGGGTTAGGGAGCTTTAGCCATACTACTATAATTATGCTATATTAACCGTGTTTATATTTACTATATACAACTACATCTTATATATTATAAATTTACTATATACAACTATAACATATACTAAGTATATAGTCCATACTACTACACCATCCCAAATTGTTATATTAACTGTATTATACTATACTATACTGCTATATTATACTACAAGGCTAGGGAATCTAGATCTCCTAGAACCAAGATCTCGATCTCTAACAAGAGGGATCAAGATTCCAAAGTTTAAAATTTGCAGAGCGAGATTTCCTTCCCTGGAGCTCAAGAGCGAGAATCAGATGTTGAATCAACCCCTTGGTTGGAAGATTATGGCAACTATAGTTCTATCCACTTTCTTTCAGGGGAAAAATAAAAAAAGAATTATAGGTCTATCCACTTGGCAAGCTTGGAGCCAACGAATTGGCCAAAACTTGTATTTTTCTATAGAATGTTGTGAACACTATTTTCTAATGTTTTTTAGCAAAGCATGCCAAACATAATTTTGAAGTTCATTGGCTTGCTCAAAACTTCCTCTCCTTGGATTGTTGAGAGGGGGTCGTCATAGAAACTCCCATAGATGATTTGAGCCTATGAGTAAGATAAGCAAAGCTTCTTTATAGCCGACACGAATGTGATTAGAAGCATCATCCATCCCTTTACCATCTGGCTATAGCAAGGGGTTTATTATGAATGAGGAATTGTTATAGCCATCTCCCATCTCATCTCCATCAAATGTTTCCAACTACATTTGGGGAGAAAGAAAATCTTTTAAACCCCCTACTATAGCCTTGTAACAATTCCTCATTCATAATAAACCCCCTGCTATAGCCAGATGGTTAAGGGATGGATGATACTTATAATCACATTTGTGTTGGCTATAAAGAGCCTTTGCTTATCTTATTCATAGGCTAAAATTATCTCTGGAAGTTTCTATGACGACTCCCTCTCAACAATCCAAGGAGAGGAAGCCTTTTGAGCAAGCCAATGAACTTCAAAATTATGTTTGGCATGCTTTGCTAGAAAACATTAAAAAATAGTGTTCACAACATTCTACAGAAAACTATAAGTTTTGGCCAATTCGTTGGCTCCAAGCTTGCCAAGTGGATAGACCTATAGTTCTTTTTTTATTTTTCCCTTGAATGGAAGTGGATAGAACCATAGTTGCCAGAATCTTCCAATTAAGGGGTTGCTTCAACATCTGAATCTCGCTCTTGTGCTCCAAGGAAGGAAATCTCGCTCTGCAAATTTTAAACTTTGGAATATTAATTGATGTTATAATTCAAAAGTTGATAAATAAAAACCAATTATTATAATCATAATTGATGTTATGACGACTGTGTTATAATCACTTAAGAATACCTATGTAACTATATTTTGCTAAATGTAAGATTATAATTATCTGTTTCATGTATATTTCCTTATATTTGAGGGATTTTTTAAGTATTACAAGCCATGGTGAGTAGTTTTGTTTATTATAATTATGATAGGTGTATAAGATTATAGTGAAATATTAAAAATCTATGTTATAATATTATGATCACAATTATATAGATTCACATATAATTATCCATTTTTTACAATATAATTCATCGATAATAATTAATTTATGAGAATTAATATATCCATTATATTTTTTTGAAACTGTTTGAATTAATATATCCATTATATTTTAGTATTAGTATATGTATTTTTGATAATATATTGGAATGAATGTAAACATAAATCCACTTAGAATAATGTGATAAGTATTATAAAAATTACAAAAATAACTGGAATCCTAAATGAATATTATGAATATGTATATTCATATAAGTATAATTTTCAAATTTTGAAACTGTTTGAATTAATATATCCATTATATTAAGTATTAGAATATGTATTTATGATAATATATTGGAATGA